AGGATAATGCTGTTGGGTGCTACAATTGTTATTGCAGTTGTAATAGCAAGATTTACATACACAACTCTCTTTTCCTTTGTATTTTACATATCTACCACCTATACCTTAATTTTTACATACATTCCAAGTGTATTTCACTTTCTTTAGAGGTTAAAATGATGGTGTTTTTGATGTGCTGTGAATAAAGGATGTTGGCAATGCTTAAAATTGCTAGATTTAATGAGGAGTTTTTCCGTTGGGATGTAAGTAATGGGAGCTGTAGCTTTTGTTATGATAATCGGTTAGGGAAAGCTCCTTTGGCTAATTCATTTATGGGTCCTTTTGTGGTGAATTTTGGTTGTGAAAGATTGTTGTAGCAATGTTACATGGGATTTATAGAAGTTGAGGAATTGGGTTAGTTTGGAAGGTGCTAATATCATTGCTTTCTCTGATGACCTTTTAATGCAGGATCATCAGTGCTATGCATCTAAATATTATAGATTGGGTGTTCGATCTGTAAATGCAGGAGAATAATGTGGTATGTTTGTAAATGCCCCTATTTCTTATACTCATTGGGTCAATTGCGTGGTCAAGTGAGTCTTGTAGACATTATCTGGGACATATTATCTATTCATAGAAGTGCCGAAGCTTGTAATCAGCAGTTGATGGTTGCAACTAATGGTTGCTGCAGCCATGCATTTTGAAAGGAAAGGTTCACATTTATGCCATGGTTGTAATCTTATAGCTTTGGTATCTACATTGAAGCCAGGGTGGATTGTTTCTCACGTGTGAACCTGTATAGCATGATCAAAGAATTTAAAGGCATGTTTGCAAATTTTCCTTCATTTTTTGCACTCAAAATGATCTTTGCACTCAGTAAGAATGGCAGCTCAGTATTCGGTGTTTATTCATCTCATCTTTGCACTCAGTGTGATGGAATGTTGTTTGCTCATGGTTAATGATAGACTCTTGCTTATGTAATGGTTATGTTGTTTCATATAGAATCTATACTACATAACTTTACAGAAATTGGGAAGAGGGAGGAAGGGGAGAAAGAGGAGAGAAATGGAGGAGGCCATTGCTGATGGTCTAATCTATACTGCATGACTTTATAGTTTTCGTTGTGTGTGTGTGTGTGTGTGTGTGTGTGTGTGGTGTGTGTGTGTGTGT